GAGGCGGCCTGGTGCAGCACATTCAGTTGCCTGAGAACATCATAAACGAGAGATTCAGCTGGGTTCCAGGTGAGTCTCTCGAAAGAACCAAATTAGTTTGTAGATGAGTGTATATTCGCTAATTTCATGCAATTTGGTTTCAAGTAGAACATAAGGTTGACGGAAACCCGGGGACTGCGCCTACCTGATGAGCCCCAAGAAGGGCGAAACCGGTCGTGGGCTGTCGATGGATTTTCAGCAACCTTATGAGTAGCACATCACAAATACCCGAACTGTTTTCATCTCATTCAGCCGTCGTCAAACAGTCGACAGTGCATCATCACATTGGTTCCCTTGAAGATCAACCACCTATAGTTGAACGTGTTTTGGGAAATCTCGTTCATTTGACAGAAGCATTGTCCCTCTAAACTATGCGACTCGCTAACTTTCACAACAGGTTTAGTATGAATGCATGTACATCTGTTTGTAAGCGTAATCAACTGCTCTCTGAGTGTTATTCAGCTGGTAGAATAAAAAGTCTTCTTCAGTTTACTAAACGATCCAGTGAGATATACACAGAGAAGGAGGCGCTGTAATCAGGGAAGGGTTTCCCACAATGCGAAAGCAATAAACCCGCAGGCTACACTGAAGCAGTCGACAACCCTCATAAAGCTGCAGCGGCCATGCCGGAATAGTTGCAGGACTTGACAGATATACAGTAAAAAGGTGAGGCGGTTCCCTTGGAAGGATTGGGATCAAACTAAAAGGAGAATAAAGTGGGACTTGAGTTACGTTAATTGGGAGGTTGACTGAGATGACGGGGCGAGATGACTCAAGTGGTTAGAGGGAGAATTTACTGACCGGTAGGCCCGTGGTTCGAGCCCGACCTCTGCCTCTCGACTTCCTCTGTCTAGGTTTGGGCAGCCTGGCATTATCCCAGCCCTCGTGCTTCTTTTGGGTGGCATGACAGTTAGTCACCGAAACGGTGTTGCAGCTGATCGACCGTCTTATTGTCTTGACTGAGATGACATGCTCTTTGGGTGAGCAAAATATCTTTTTAGATAGATAGAATGAAGAGACGCGTCAGCAACTGGCACTGGATGGTAGTGTAGTGCGATTACTACAGCGACCGTCCGTACATCACCGTACTGAATATCATTCTTCTTCCTAAAGTCTCACGAGACATACAGGTCATCTTTCCACTCTTTGATTCTGTAACATTTCTGACGTATGATTTGAAATGAAATTTTTTGAAACTTTGGGCTGGACGATTTTGTACGGATGGCAAAGTGATTCATACCTGCTAAACTTGAGGCCTACAATCTTCAAAAAGTTCTTGTTGATGTTGCACGTTGTTGGATGTTTAATTCGAGAGCGAATTAAATGTGTGCGCAATGAGGTGCTTTGCATTTGTAGCCAAAGTGAACGTACGTCACCCCATGCTACTCGCGGTTATTTGATTTGGTTGAGTCCAATCCTAAAAACTGGACTGTTTTGAGTATCCGAGAAACTCACACCTTCAATCTTCTTCGATGTATAATGTGAAGGAGAGTATGACCGTGATGAAGGATAAGTGTGTAACAACCTACACAGCTTACTTAAAGTGCATCCACATTGCAAGTGATTAGATCTAAATGAAAGGAGAGTTTCTTCTATGAGCTATAGTTGTCGAACTGACTGCACAGGGACACTAAACTCCTTTCAAAAAACATGCAAGCAAATTCTTGTACAGTGCCCACGAGCGACGGTATATTTCACTCACCTACAAGACCACCACTCAAGTGCAACCTCACGACGTTGGGAGCAAGTGCTGTATTCAACAGATAAGTGACTGCTTGACTGAAGACCGTGGTTCATTGTTACGGTAACCAAATTGTACGCCGTGCTTCGAAAAAACAGGCTTTGTTTAAAGCAATATCAGAATGAAGCATTAAACGCTATGAAACGTGTATAGCGCAACCATTGCCCGATTCATCTCATTGATGAATCCAGCAAAATTTCATTAACCTAACGACTGGTTTCCGGAGAGTGAAGGGATCAAACGTAATCTCGACGAACCGATTAAGGTGCTAAATAAAGAGTTAGTTCAAGTCTATACGCCTTTCACACCATCTGACTTCTGAGACAAAACGCCAATCATCGGTCCCGCGTTTCTTACTGAAATGAACATAGACGAATGGCACCTCAAGAGGCCACTAGTATCTGTCAGGCTAAAAATTCTAAAGCCAGTTTGCATCAGAGAACATAGACCTTGCCACGCAAAAATTTCTAGGGGATAATTTACGTAAAGTTTCTTGGATGCAGTCAGCTGACTGTCACCTTGTCATGTTGCAATTATACTACGAGCTACAGTGTGCATTCATCCCAGAAAGGTCGAAAAGGCGCAGTCTGACAAAGAGCAGCGAATCTTCATATTGCAAAAAATGTTGTATTATGAGGCAGTGAAGTATCGATGTTGAATACTGATGTCATGCCGTCGATAACATTGACGTTGTATTATGAGGCACTCTGGGGGTAACGTTATACAGTTTGCTGGTAGGAGTGTGAAAAATATAAGCTAATTTTCCAATATGCCCAGAATCCTCCTGTTTACGGACGTAGCGATACTGTCGTCGCGAGAAGAGAGACGAGTTAAACAGGCCTACACTAAGAGGCACACACATCGATCACCCAACGGTAGACCGTGATCGTTGGAGCGTTATCAAGCCGACGGTCGAAATAAATCTAAAAATCAAGAAACCGGTGCTGTCTGAGAGGCACCTAGAGTGATCCGTTGCACTAGAAGCCAGATTTCTATTCCTTAATTCCTACCCGTCATCTCGGGATAGGTCACCGCGCAACTGCTTTGTGGGTCCAAACTTCAAGTACGTAAAATTCGTCCACTTTTCAAGGCTTAAAATCTCAGAAACTTCGCCTTCTCAGATAGGACGTGGTTTGTGAAGGAAGACGCGCATTCTCTGTTTCTTGAAACCTCACAAGCTACGGATAAACAATGAGGAGACAGGCGTCTTCATTGGGCTGTTCCTTGTTGGTTATTCCAAAATGTCTAAAATTTGAGACCCAGCCAATGCAGTCTGCAGGATCATTTCAGCACTGAGGCCTCACTAACATGTCAGTGTATCAGCTTTGGGTGACTGTATGTATATTCATACAGGAATTCATAAAGTATCCAACTCATGGACTATGGTGTTTGAATAGAAGTGTCCAACTTGTCGGAGCTCATTTCGGATAACGTGTTCAGCTGTTTGATATTATCCGTGGGTAACAAATCGCCCTCAATTATTGCCGCAGCACTTGTGACTCTTTTCCTTTTCGATCCGCACTAGAATTAGAAATAAAATTTTTCGTGCAGTCGCAGTCAGTCGCTGTCGGTTTCACCTATACGCTCTCCCAAATTGCTGAGATTATTCAAAATGCAGATTTGTTTTGGACAGTGTCTCACATGATGTTGATTTATCAGTGAATACCTAAATCCGCTGAAGTTTGGGACTTACAACTGTCTCCAGATGTCAAATTTTGTAACAGTGCACATGTGACCGAGTTTTCATATCAGCAAAAACCCACTAATCACACCTGACTTTAAATTCCCATTCCTAATGACCAGTCTCAGTAGATTATGACGATACCTAAGCCAAATTCACATTGGCCGACCGGTAAGCTCAATTCCACAGCTTCCTAGCATTCAAAGTAAAGGCTAAGCGAAACTAGTCAAGCAGGTTCTGGTCTGTGGGCGAGTGAGCTGTTTGTTTCGGTCGGACGAATCAGGAAACCTAGGGTTGTCACAGCCTACCCTCTAGAGCTCTTTGGTGATCAGGTCTCATAAAGGAAGGCATAAGCTTGCAGGAAATTAAGTTGAAATTCAGATTACAAGCCTAATTTAAGATTGCGCGCTTAGCACTTACCTTCAGGCAAAAAGTTACAAAGTTTTGGTGAATCATCATTACTTGCGTTAATAACTGGGGACATTTTGTGGCATTCGCTCGCAGATAGCTTTATTCACTCCAGCTCTAATTGTTTCCTTTATTTCAGAGTGACGAGACAAAACATGTATGTGAGGAACACATTTGACTTTTAAACCCCAGTCATATTGGCAACATTTAGCGGTTATACGGTCAGTCTTCTACCATACTGAGGTTGTAGCAACTCAAAGCTAAGCGTCATAGCAACACGTTAGCACCGTGGCAACTCGCACAAGTTCAACCGACCAATTATGCGAGCAATACACCTGTGTAGTCATGTCCGCACCGTATGATTATGGAGCACTCGCTACATCAGCTAGTTGGGTCGATGGAATCAATAATCCCAATTTGGCGCACTCACTGGTGCTCAGTCGAGGGGCGCTAACCCAGATATTTGACATACGAGCGGCTGATCGATGCATCTGATCTTTCTGACCCACACGCACTCGCATTTCAGCTGACTCCTGCCACTGCGTGCGCTGCGCTGAACCTGTCTACTTGTCCAACATAAAGTCAACCAATCAGTGCATGCTGCACACTTTGAGTCAGCAAGATAAACGAATTGTGCTCAACGCGCTAATTTATTGGTCCAAACCGACTTGTGTGCACGGTTTTTCGTGTGTTGGAACAACATCGGCTTGATGCGGTGGACTGACTTCATTCACACTCCGAATGCTACTCGCCGCCGGTCTGAGCGCTAGTTCACGGTGCTAGTTGGGATGAATAACACTTTGAAGCAGGAAGACTTAGACTTGTCGGCGGTCATCCAATCAACAGCGTTCGGCTCTAGAGGCGCTGAGTTAATGCAACAAAATGAGAGTGAGTTTTGGTGTTTTATGAATTTGAAATTACCAGTATTTTTGGGACCATTTTCTTCACTGTCTGTTAGGGAGTAAAAATGCTGTGAAGTCATTTAGTTGTCTCCTCCTAATACCAATGTCAATGACACTCGTGAAAGCCTATTCGCTTACCGCTGGGTTGTTTGATTAAACTCCCAACTTGTTATTGTTTCTGTCAACAGAAGCGAAGCAGATGTGTTAGGGATTGCTTTCTTATACAGAATGAGCTTGAGTAAAGCGTTTGCCTGAACCGAGTGGCCACTTACTGCTCACCAAGTAATAGAAGATAAATAAACAACAATATATAAAAAGAAAAAATAAAGGAAAAATAGAGAAAATAATTTAATTGAGAGTAGCTGTAAATTTCTGACTGACATTCACCCATAAATCACCAGTATGTTCAGCTGTGATGATGAAGTAGTTTGCCGAAAGAGCTCTTATAGTGGGGCGTGATTCAAACATCTAATGCATATATACGAAAAATTATAAAATAAAATATATGATAGACACAGACAATTCTTCATACCACAATGAAAGTAAAGTATGCTGATAGTGCTAGCTGGAATTATTGGAGGTCAAAATAGCAAGTTTTCGCGGGAGCTGAGTTGGTAACGCTCTTTTGGTGAGCGAGGTATCGCGGGTGCGAATATCGTCTGAAGACCTTTGTCTCTTCGCATGCACTACTTACACCCGGCTCTCGTGCGAAGCTACCTGTATCAGTTTACATCAATCACATCTTTGTTTCAGTCGAGGTGAATTTTACACTCCCAGTGACTTGGGGAGTCCCGAGTAATTTAAAGTTGTTCGGTTTGAGATTCATAAGCCTAGAGACAATCTAAGTGAGCAACAAGCACAAGTTAAATCCAACCTGACCCCGAATGCAGGATAAACACAATTTCTGCGGGAACAAGTTTCTTCTGGTTTAAAATATTTGATAAACCTATAAGCCTATAAAAAATTGTTCTCACAGAAAGGTCGCTGGTCAGCAAGTTTTCGAGGATTAACCCTACACCACGCAACATCTCTTTAAATAGTTTCTCGGGAGGTAGTCGTTCTTTAATAAGGCAAATAAGCAGAAGTATGAAAGGTTATGGGGATTCTGAGCTGCCAGTAGTGGAACATGTTTATTTCACTGTTAGAGGGAGCTTTCATGTTATGGAAGTTAACCGCTTGGGTCTGTTCTGGCAGCTCGTTTTTCGGGTAGAGTCGCTAAGCAGAAACGGATGTATGCGTTCAGTCTAATATGGATGAGCTTTGCCCCCATATTACGTTCCTTAAAACATCGTCCCAAAACACAAAATTCGTATCCAACGAGCCACTTGCTGCCTGTCTAAAAGAAGTACCATCTCTTTTGTGAATATTGCCTGTGTTCCTCGCTGTTCTTTTTTGATCTATTTGTGACGTGCGAAGTTTTTTCGTCACACGGAACACAGTCTGCCGGGAAATATATGCTATCCAGGTTGACAGACAACCTCCGACAGAAGGTCATAGTACTTCAATCTAGAATCTCTATCACACCGTCGGTGCTATCAAAAGGCCAGAAGACTGTTCGTCCCCGAATGTATCTTAGAAACAACTCTTTACGCACTACTGGTGCTTTTGTTATCCCAACAGAATCCCTCCCCGCCGTCACGTTGTTTTTTCATTCGTTTTGAGGTTGCTCTTGGGACCAGATGCCTGTGCGGCATTTTCCTCGACATTAAGTGTGTGACTGGTTCATTCCTCTGTTTCAATCAAGTTAGCAGAGTAGTTCAGAGCATGTTGAGGAATGTGGTTCATCTGAGTCTAAATTGGTATCCGACAGCAGTCCACCTAATAAACGGTATGTTAGAACGCTCCAAATATCTCAACCGGCCTTGTTCATTAACTCTCTTGACAAGTGACCACAACTAAATAACTCAGCTTTTCACCAAGCCACTAAATTCGCATGAGGAGACCTAGATTTTTTACACCGTATTAGGCTTTCGTTAATAAGCGAAAAACCTTCATGGCGTAGTCCGATTAATTTTGCACCTGATAATAATCCAGAAAAGCCATAAATGTTTACAAAGTTGACTTTTGAGCTCACATGTTTGATGAAGAAACGAAGATCTGATGGCTTTCAGCGTAGTGTAGCTTAAAAGTGGTTGCTGATATACTTGCTAAAGCTTCCTCTGTTATTATTGTATGTGGTAGGAGAAAATTGTTTGACATCTGTAGGCAACACTCTACCAGTTTCGACTTGTTTGAGGCTCATCAGGTGTTCACAGTCCCCATAAACTCAGGAACTCTATCCTTGAGTTGGACAGCAATTTGGATAATTGTTTACTTTTTATTTGATGAATCTGATGAAACCAGGGATCTAATCCAGTCCTTAGAAATCAACAGCATACACCTGTCTTTGCAGTGGAGACTGTGTTCTTTCGAGCATGTGCCCAAAAGAAATTGTCGAACAAAACACATCTACAGATTAAGCTGGTCCTAAAGAGATGTTCAGCTGAATCTCTAACTTATACTATTCTACTAGCTTTGTGCGCGCTCCGTTGAAACGATATTTGTGATGTCTCAATCATAAAATTACTTGTCACGCTGTTGAATACTCTTCGGCAGGCCACTACCGGTTTCGCACTAATACAGCCTGTAGCTTCCATTAACCTTATGTTCCAGCTGAACATAATCTGAGCAACTGGCGAAATACGCTAATTTGAAAATCCAATCCAGTTGCAATTTTAGCCATCCTCCCCCATAATCAACGAACACCTGCAGTGCACACCAGTTTTACAAAGTGGACATTTTCTAACCCAAAATGAATTACACCATGGATTCGAGAATTGTCTGAGTACATTCGAAATGCAATCTCCGATTAAGCTATTGTCTCCCAAGAAGGCTATCCTCTTTGTTGGGTGTTTAGAACTGCTACACGTGGTGATGCAGTTTGCAATTTTTATCAGTAGGAATAACATGCGCACAAAAGTGTTTGCTATTTTAGTTCACCTTAAATGATCCTGCTTTGGATGCACGAGGTAGTCGAATTTAAGTCGTGGTGGGTTTTCACTCCAGGTTGAGTAATGTTTGTCCCTTTTTCTTGAAAGGATGACCTCAATCGAAGGTTGCTGAACATTCTTATAGTTACAGATGGCATCAGCCAGTTCGTCCATAAAATCTGACTTGATATTGTCGTATGGAATGAAGCAGCCGTGCCGAATGCTTGAAGCCGTACAACACTCGAACTTCACACGCCTAGTAGGCTCTACCAGCTCACAAACAGACTGCACAGTACAACCGATGCTAAAGCTGAACAAGGATGCACGTCACATCAAAGAGAATGACAGCCAGGGAAGTAATAGTCACCATTGATATTATGATTATCTATTATTATTAAATATTATATTTAGTCAGGCAGTTTGTCAGCTACAAACGACATACCACTGAATACGAGTTCGGAGTGTCCTCATACATCACCACACAGAACGACGTCCATCGAACGGTAAAATGAAAGATCCTTCTGTAATCAATGACCCTCAGGTGCAGCATCAATTGCTGCGCCACTCAAAAGTCAGAGGGGGAGTCAAAACAAGTTTTTTACTAACTATTTTCATTGCTAGTACCAGGACCTCTCTTAGAATGGTTTTGATAATAAAACAATGACGGAACGGTCATAACGAACAGCAGTATCCCAATCATTAAATAGTTGGGGATGGGGTATTCTTACTGATGAATTCTTTTATGAATTGTTCCTTAAGCTCCTTAAGCTTTCTGCACTAAATCTTGTTGACCAGTGGTTGAAGAACGGCATGTGCCACATAAAAATTTAAACTGATTTCCACAAGGAAACCGGTCAACAGCTCATCAGAACCCTTGAGAAAGTCCATCAACGACTCACTCTGCACGCACTATTCGTGGAGCTTCTGATTCATTTTGTTGCATCAAACCCGAAAAATTCATGTCTCGTATTTTCCCGAGATAAAAACACCATGTGTATGTATAAATGTCCAGATGAAGTTCATCCAAGCTTGGTTGTGAGATTTTTCACTCCCCGTATAGATCTGCAAAGCAGCAGCCAAAGGCAAACACGATATGTTGACTGCATTTGGTTTTTCCGATTGCACGTTGATGTCACACTTTCACATTTTAGACAGCTTTCCACTGACTGCTTATGTCTACACAAATCCGCCCGAATTAAGGAAAAACAGAGCAGACTTTAGGAATCCTAGACCAACTTAGTCAGCAATATTGCCGTCAGAAGTGATTAAGCTACTCGCTTTTTAGATCGGGCCAACATGATCGTAGTTTATAAAAATGTATTACCGTGATCCAGAGGCCCGTCACGAAGAGAGTTTACCGTGGTGTGACGGCTTGTGCACCTCAGCGATCCATTTAGCTATACTTGGGAATGACCCGTAGTACTCAAAGTGTCTCTCATACCAGGTTGGTCAATGGTTAGAGATCTCACAAAAACATTCTCCTGGCCCTCCAGGTTGGGGGATGGTACATGCGGCGACTTGTTCCGTAGAAATGGTGATGTATTTGCATTTCCCGCCAAACACCGCTGCCTTGCGGTTAGGTTTTTGACCCAAAGGCTTTGGTTGAGGACCCTAATCGTCCTCCTGTCTAGGTATGGGCGCCCTGGCAGTATCCCAACCCACGTACAACCATGAATTGCACATAGACAAATAAACTCATGCCACATCGGCTGTCGCGTGGTGCCATCAGCCGGGTCGCCTTACTTGCTGCATACAGCGGGGCGGGTAAGCGAAAACAGGATACTGCTGTTGCCTTCCTTCTTTCTCTTTCACATACTTTTTCTTCTCCCTCTCTCCACCCCATTAATAACTCTCTCCTTGTAGGCTCAGCACTTAGGACTGATGACTCCGTTCATCATGCATCGGCTTCGCGTGCAGTATCTGCTCGTCACATGGCGCCGACATCCTCAGGTATCTCCAAATCAGTCTTCAAGCCTCGACACTCAGTCTATCTGGCCGCGTTCAATGTCCGCACTCT